ATAGATTTTCTATCGCATTGATAATCGCAGGCACTGAACGGCTACGACTAACACTAACACGAATAATGATAAGATGATCGATAAAATTAATCACTGAACAGTAAATAAAATCTGAAAGAACGTACATTCCAAATTGAGCATATTACCAGCAATGATATTCGATGGAATTTTCGATAATTTTGGTGCATCAAAGACGTTCATTAAAAATCGACCAATACCCACTGGTTTTCCATCCAAATCGATTTCTATTTCATATTCTCCTTAAGGATTCATTCATTTCGTTACTTTTATAATTAGTATCATTACTCAAATCATCACAGCAATTTATCAAAATAAAAGCAAAACTAATTTCACAACCAGTTGAGAATACTTATGAAAATGCAACATCTCGTATTGATTGTAGATAACAACGGATAATTCTGTTTTTTTCGATAATTTAAAAGTGCTGTAAAATGAGAGATACTCACCGACAATATGAGGGATGAACTGGACACGATAACCATTGAGCGATTTTTCGAACTGAATGTCATTTAGTTGATTGCCTTTTGGATCTAAAAGGGACGTTCACACATCTACGAAAATTGATACATGTAATGACACGGATGCCAATTAAGTGAGCAGAGACGAAGATTGATACAAAAGTATCGAGCCGAAGACGATTAATTACATAAACAAATGAAGACAAACACAGAAACGAATTGATGAGATACAAAAACAATAATTGCGATAATGGTCATGTGCAATAATCACAATCAGTTCAAATGAAGCGCACAAGCAGACGACATCAAGTTCTATCGAAGAAAAAAAAATTTTGAAATCCAAAATTTATGAATTTGACTCAAAAGAGTCATTCGTTACTCGAGAGCATCCTCCTGAACTGCTCGATAGCACGAACAATTGTGCATTACGAAAATTATCAATCAAAAAGTTAGTAAACGCAAAAAGTCGATTTCACTCATATTTTATGCAATTCATATTGTTCTTGTAAAGATTTATGTTCCACTTGAAAACTGCCAACAAATTCCTTCGATAGTTTAAAACAAAGACGAAGTTGTTAAGTGAAGAGAGAAATGAAATAAACTGCATACCAGTCACCAGAACGTTGCAATCTGCATTTCGACCAGCCATATCGATATTGAAGCCTTTTAACTGCCCAACCTAAAACATGCAATCATTTCGTTCTGTTCTTTCTTACTAAAAGCAGCTTGAAACAAATGTTTCTTCAGTCAAAATCACTTTAAAAATGCCTGCCAATCACTTTAATCTAAGAACCTGTCCAGTAGTCAGATCACCAATAACTTTGATCTCCTGTATTCCACCGCCNATTGCTGAATCTTGCAGTGGTTGATGAACGACAGCTACCGGTTGTGATGACTGCTTAGGTGCGACAGGGCATGACATTGGCGAACCTTTAATCAGTTATGATAATCAACAGTGGTTGATCTAGCAAAACACACACGAAAATATCAAAATTAGCAACTTTTCTTAGTGATCAACCGATTCACAAAGAAAATAATTTGAGATAGATGAGTCTTTGAACGACCAGTTAATTGGCAATAAATTTTCANAGCCTGAATTCAACTTACTTAATAAAATCAACGTTTGTCTTGGCATCACCACAGCGACATTTCATATAATTTAAAAGGATAACTAAAACGTGGTGAGTTTATTAGATCATCAACAAGTGGTGAAAAGAATGTCTTGATAATGGATGAAAAGTGAACCTGAACAAAGTTGGGCACGTTTTTATTGTCGACACTAACGATGATTTCCATGTTGCCAGCACCCGCCTTTGCAGCGTCAATTGTAAACGTTGTTGGTTGCCCAACTACAGCATTATCAACTTTTGATAACTTTGCACATCTCGCATCGAACGCCTTCGATTGGAACGGTGAGCCACTGATCGGTTCGTTGTCGTATTCGATTTCAATCTTCAATTTTGCTCATTTTTCATGAAAGCGGCATTCACAGAACTGAACACGATGATTCGCTGAGGTGATAAATGAAGAAACCTGATGATTTCCAACACATTTGGGTGTGTATTGCATGATGTATTTCTGCGAATTATCCGACTGTGCACTGTCATCAGTTATAATGTTCACATCTAATTCATCGCCTTGTGAATCAATTATGTTCACTTTCGGTACTATCTCTTTATCACCCTCTACGAGCACATTGAATTCACATAGCTGACCCACTGGAATGCGTTCCAGACCAGCGCCTGATGCTGTTATCGTTCTCGGTGATACCAGACGACACACAAATGGACTGCCTTCAATGTTTTCAATGCTAATGTTATTCATTTGAATTCACCAAAATTATAACACTCTGGCATGAAATTGAAACTAACAGATAAAATAAGATGCTCTGATGGAAAACTTTTAATAATATATTGAAAAAACAGTCAACGTTTGCAAGAATGTGTCAGAATAATAATCGAATACAAACAGTCCTATGACCAAAAACACTTTTCAGCAAGATCGAATTCTTCCATTTTAGGAGGCAATTTCTCCATGCCATTTCATTCACTAAAGGGCATTCTCAGGTTTTCCAGCAGGACGGATTATCCGCGCTAATCACTGGTCTACCTATTCAAATAATGTGTTATGAAGTAATAACCTGGTACAGGTTCATTATTGAATCTGACCGATACGGTGTGATCAATTTGTTCGTGAGGCACAAATGATATATCATAACGATGTTGTCCTAATGACTGAGCCATCGATGGGATACGTCCCTCGTTCACGGCCACTTCCAAATTACCGACACCAGCCTCACTCGCATCCACTGGAATCAATATCGCTTTCACTGGATTGCCCATGAAGTGAATAATGACTAGTTATTTGATGTTAACGATGCGATTCATCACACACAACATAGCGATGCATCGCATTAATGACCAACTCGTCAGTAAAAACATGCGTTCAATTGCTCATCGATGAAGAACGCTTTGCAAAAGAATCGACGAACAAGTGAACGATAACCGACCGACAAAATGAACTGCCTTGTTAACAACTCCATTTGGTATGTTCGCAACCATTATTTTCGCAGGGTCATAGGCACGGCATGTGAACGGGCTTCCTTGTACATCTACACCAGCATATTTTATGTCGATTTCATGGTCACCTTAAGCATTCAGCATCGTTACTGTTATTCCTCAACAGTATTTTTACTGTTATGATCTGAGTGCTTGTAGCGTAGAACCTCGCGATTCACTTTAATTGGACAATCGAATGAATGACTGCTGAAGCAGTTAAGCAAATGGAACAGCATGAATGAGATAAGAGATTTGATTGAAATTAAACGCTCTTGAACATTGAATTGAAGTGAAATACGATAGCAAAAATTCAAAATAAACTGACCAACGAGTATCGGTGTGAATTCAATGCGTTTAACACCAGGCTCGTGATCCATTATCTCGCTAACGACTGAGTTCTTCATAGGGTCTGCAACAGACCAGAAACAATTCACAAACTCAACGAATAATTCAAAAATGATAACAATCAGTTTTGATCGAATAACTACAATCAGCTGACTACAATCATATCACATACCAGCAACATAGACATCAAGAGGCTGATCACCAGCCACTGAAACGAATATCTGAGCACATTTGCCAACTCGACTCAACGACGGAATTTTAGTGACACATGTCGTTCTCTCTTCTTGTTGTTTCTTCTTTTTCGAATCCTTGGTCTTAAGTTCAATTTTTCGTTAATTCGAATGGTCATTTTCTTCCACTGAATGCATCAACTTTTGATACGATTGTTCGATCTTTCATTTTGTATATGTAAATACCAACATTATTATTATCATTATTATTATAACTCTCATTATCAATCATTATTAACTATCATTTGGAATAACGATACCGCACCTTAGTTCTTTTCAGATTTTCAACCATTTGTTTCTCTTCTTTCTCTTTTCTCGCCTTTTCCTTCTCCTCTCGTTTCTTCTCCTCCTTGTCTTTCTTTGCATCTTTTTTCTTGCCTTCTAATGAACTGTAATCGAATAAGTTATTTTAAAAGATCAAAGGATATGATAAGTACGAGAGTAAGTCTCAACTGAATTAATAAATTTTAAGATATGAACTAGATTAGTATTTTGAATCTCACAAAGGAAACATCACAAGAAGTGAATCTATCTATAATTGCAGAAGAAAAAGCCAAAAAGCATTTGAACAAGAATTCAGTGAACGAACGTACATTACTTCAGCTGGTGATTGTGCCTCTACAATATTCACCTCAAAAGGACTGTCTGAAATGAAGTGAATGTTTTGATATGAAACAACTGAAGTTATTAACATTTTATCTCAGCGAATATGAGATGCAGAGAGATTTTAAAGACTTCAAATGAATGTCTTCGAAAGGACGATAATGCAGTAATAAGAATCTTTTCAGAGAAAATTAGAAGCGGAATCTTAGAAAGTACTTTTCAAGACTTCTTTGTTGAACGTGATATTAACGGTATGCATTCCGGTAGACGTTGGATTGAATGTGACCAAGAATTTGGCAGTGCCGGATTCGAGTTGTGATACGTGCGATGGTATTATGACATCGTTGTTATCTTTTATTGCCATCTCTAAATTACCGAATCCCGCACGACCAGCATCCACTGAAAGACATTATCCGTTCGAATCGTTCACACATCATTCATAAACGAACAATGAAGTAACGACCAACCAGTGAACTCAACAGTATCATTGATTGTGCTCTCTGGCACAATTTCACCGACAACTATTTCGGATGCGTCGTAAACACGAATCGGGAATGGTGACAATGGATGTACAACATCGTTCACGTATGCCATAACCTTAAAATTCATTCACACCCTTTTAGTATAACTATTGGAACAATTCAAACTTTAACTCATCCGGGTGTATTGCTCACTTTCATCATTGATCAAAAAATAACTTGCAATATCATATCTGTTAGCGACGACGCCGTAGCGTAAGTCTTATATTATTGAAAATAATCATAAATAATCCTTCCTAGACGCCAAATTTCATCATCAGATTAGAATAAAATCCATAATTGTTAGAGAGCAAATTGTACAACACGATGACGGAAATGTAAACGAATAAACTGATGGTTATGGTAACGATAATGGCAATGATAAAGATAATATCACTGCTTCACCTTATGAGTGCCAACTTCCGTTGGTCTGAATGTTATTTCATAATTATGTCGTGATTTTTTGACTTTGGCTTCAATTTCGTTCCCATCGCCAGCACTGCTTGAGGGTGCTGAAATGAATCAATGGTTTGGGGTGGTAATAGACTGATAAATATCGTCCACATCATCACTTGGATTCAGTTTTTCCGAGATAATCACAACGTTTTAATCCGAGAGGAGGATCCCAAACAAAAGTCGATGATCAAGTGTGACACTCTCGACTATGGCTCGTAATAAAAATGGGGACACTGAAACGCTCAGAAAGATCGGACCAAGACTCGTTAGATGGGGCCAAACATCCGGTTCGAGGGATTTCTGATTCATTTTCACATCTGCAAATATACCCTCAATTTGGATCCACAACTGCGCTTCAATTAGCACCGCGGTGTTCATTAATCTATCTTTGGACCCCATTTCTCTGTTGACAGGCCTGGAATCCGTTACAAATCCATTTCTTGAATGCAAAAGTTTATCGCGGTGAATATAAATTGCCTTCACGCGAATTCTTCTACGTTAAATTGATGGCGCAGTACACCTGACTCTATTTTTGAGCGAGTTCGATTAAATTTCCGTACACAATGACCAAAATTTTTTTCGAAACAGCCACAATCCACGGGAATGGAACATTTAATGCATTCATGAAAGGTAAAAGATATGGGAATGACATTTGGAGAAGAGATAATGAGTAGTTCAAGTGATGCAAGGCTTGACAATGAACATATAGGTGCCATAAATACATTTGCTCAATAACTGTTGATACTCATTGATTCACACTGATACGTGTAGTAAGTTTATGCTTCGTACGGATTCAGCATTAATACGGATGTGTTTCATAGCTCGCTGTATGCATAAACGTACATCTAAGCCTACGCACAGGCCTGAACGTAAGCATGGGCCCATGTATGAACATGAATTGCAGCTAGACTGATGCGCCCGTTCGAGCTTTATAATTCACCAAAAAGGCGATAGAAATTCGTCCGAACTGACCGGGGTGGAGGTTCTCGCGGGGAGGAATTCATCCAAATAGGGGAGGAACCCGACCAAAAGGCCAGGAACCAAAACTGTAGGGTTGCTTTTTTTGTTTAAATTGCGTTTTTTACTTGAATCATCGTGAAAGGGGTTAGCAAACTACAAAGAGGAATCGCTCGAGAGGCTGAAAAATGTTCANATCAAGATTGAAATAACAATGCTGCCAATAACAACAATGGAAGAATGTATATATCTGTGGAGGTGTGAATTTGAAGTCTTTATCGCTGACTGGTAAATATGATAAATAGATTGCTTGAACGACATTATTGTGTATTGGTTATTGATACTTTCAATTAGATGATGAATTAAATGGAAACTAACGCGTCACAACAATGCGAAGTTGATCATCTTTGGAGAGTTTCAATGATTCCAGTTTCAGTTCAACATCTTTACCTCGTTTAACCACTTCATGTTTCGATGTGAATTTTGATTTACCGAAATCGAAACCTTTTTGTTCCTTTGATTCCTGCACATAAGAATGACTGGAGATGAATGCTTTGAAATGATTGCGCTTATGCAACCATTGGAATGTTTAATTATTAGCAATTCGAATGTGTATCAATAGGTTGACAATGATAGTAGTTGTGAACAGATCGAATAGGCAGATGAGGTGTAACAAATCGCATATATTGAAGAAGATATCATACCAAGTTCAAACCGGTTTCTTTGTTGCGATCATGATGAATATGTGACCATCTTTTCGATATCACATTACATTATAATATACTACAGTATAAATATTTAATCCTGATTAAGGTTTTGATAATATATTAATCGTATTCATTATTGAGACTCAGCGAGAATGATAAATATTATAATACCAATGAACAAACCTTGTTGAATTTCAAGTTCAATTTTGGCGTTGTTTTCGGAGTCGTGGATGGTGTGGTTGGTTGAGATAGCGATAGCTGCTCGGGTCTTTCAATACTCTTTACGGTATCCTCCATGGTTTCCTTCAATATCATTGAGAATAATTGAAATTTAAGTGGTGAATTCTGAACATTGATAGTAGTGATTATTCGTATTGATTATGAATCGAAAAAATGAAGACGAGCGATTATAAAAGAAAAATAATAAATCAACAAACAAACAGCAAGATCTTCTTGACGTCGAAGTGCTTGCGCGTTTAGTTTGGTTGAACTGTGCGGGTTGAACTCTTCAATAACATCCGACGATATATGCTCCTCTGGTTCATCCACTCCAATTGATGATGACCTTTAATGTTTACTCTTATTTTTCATTAATATCATCACGTTATCTAACATATTACTGACATATTAATTCCGTTAAGATGAGATTTGGTACGAAAACACGAACTTATTAAACGACAATATAGTATAGATATTACGAAGAATAACGAAATGTTGCAAACCGTTATTAGGGTGATGTTCGAATGTAATAATGTATTGTAAGAAAATGAATGGAATGTTCTCTTAATAGGCAAATAATAATGAGAACATTAGGTTTTGATCTAGAAGAAAACTGGGTTAAGAGTCGATGAAACCGAAGGAGATTTAGGAACTGAGAGAATGTGATAATGAAAAGGAGAATGTGTAGTGAAGAGATAGAAGAAATGAAGGAAGAGAAAAATAACGGGTTACTGATGACTAATGAGGGACAGTGATGAAAAGATTGGTATTCCTAGGCAAAGGATAATTGCCTTGTGGATCTATTAAATTTGAGAAAGAGATTTAATAAAAACAATCAGGAAGATGATCATTGAACCAAAAAATTGTGAAATAATTACTGAAAAATTTTGCTTGTTATCTATTCAAAAGGATACCGGTTATCTGCTCCTATTAATGCAAGCAACAATATAACCAGTATTCTATTTGCATTCACCAATCGTCTATATGTTTTCGCATTAAAGATTACTCCATTGTGAAATGAACAAAATAAATTCGAAAGAATGTCGTATGTAAATAAAGATGAAGTGAGGCGCATGCAAAATGAATGTAAAAAATAAACAAATAAATGAGTGTTGTAATCAAATGTGTGAATGAATAGAGAACGCATTGGGCAAACGAACAAACAAATCATGCGGAAACGAATAAGAAAAAATAAGAATAATCCGAACTTAGAAGACACCAAAGCACGATCGGTTTTTGACAAGGATGTACTAAGTTGAGGTGATAATTCATGCTCATCCTTGACGTACATATACTCATAATCAACGGCCTCTTCCTTGACGTGCATATACACATAGTCAACGGCTTTCTTGAGTATGTCTGGTAATTCAGTTTGCTCTAGATCATTCGACCTGCATTCATTACCATTTTAATATATCATTCCATACTCTTGAAACAGAAATAATCTTCTAATTGCTATTCAAATGCGCATATACGAGTGCATATATCTACTTCCATTTAAGTCGGTAAATAACTTATGTGCTCCATCTTTCAAGTGGCATTTAATAAGAGGTTTGACTCGAAAAAGTGAGTTGTTTCAGGGTGCATGTCGGCGTATGCATACACATATGCGTGTTCTCAAAAATGAATTAAAATCGAAATTAAATCAACGAACGAATTCTAAAACAAATTAGAAAATAAAATTGAACAAAAGGAAACATAAATATGTCAAAGTGCAATGATTGATGAATTCATGCCAGTGAATAAATGAAAGAGGAACCTTTTAAGAACTTGAACATCAATGTCACCAATAATGCGACTCTGTGATGATATATGCTTATCGCGTTGTTGTTTTGAATCTTGAATTAATTGACTTTTATTAGCATCGAATTCAGATCGTGTTCTTAGAGCGGACTGTTGACTCTCGTCATATCCTTCGCTTTTTGCTGCACGCATCAACTGATCTCGTTTACGTCTTTCCGTCTCTATCGGTTTCTCATATTCCCGTTTCTTCGCACTACCATATGTATCACTTTCAACCAATTTTGATCGTTCCCCAACTTCTCCTTTGGCGTCTCTTTCTTTATCAGATGACAACCATCCATATTGAGATGCCGAGGATACTCCATACCGTTCATTCGTCTTATATGCATCCTTTGTATTATCTTCCGCTATCACCTTATCCACTGCTACACCTGATACATACTGATAATTCTTGTCATTGACTTTAGTACTGATCCAATTTTTGGGTTCAGATGGTAGATCTTGCAGTCGTTTCAGTACAGTCACTGGGGAATCATTCAACGGCGGTGGCAAAGTGGCTGGATATGGGGGTGGTTGTTCTCGTGACTGATAGTGAGGTTGGGAATGAAGTGAAGGAGGTGACGGGAATCGATCTTGATCCTGGTCATCGAAATACTCTTCCTCATGACGGTAACCTGCTCCGGATTTGATACCAAACGAATAATCCTTTTTCGGAAGTGAATCTTTCTCTTTATCCTTCGGCAGCATTTGACTCGGATCGAAAATGCTCGATGTGTACGATGTATGTGATGGTCTGTTATCACTGTTAATCATATCACGCGATGACGCACTGGTTGACTTGAACTGTTCGTAGGTTGTTTGAATCATGCCAATGTCACCACCACCACCACCACCATCTCGCGACGACAATTCATCATCACCAAAATATCTCAACGACTTCACTCTATCAGTGTCCTTCTCATCCTTTTTCGATGCCGCAATCGGTAGTTCATGTCTACTTCTAGTTGCTAACGCACTCGTTGATAATGGCTCATCGATGCCATAACCTCGACTTTCCGTTATGTAGTCGCTAGTGCCTTTAGCGTTCGTCTTGCCCTCATGAACATAGTCTTGTTTGGATGTTGACGAAACGAAATCAACTGATGAGTCTAGCGTGACACGTGGTGATGGTTTTGGTGTTGTTGAATCACGGTCAGCTTGCTTAGAATCAATCAGTTTACTGGGTGTTGTTGAAGAATCTTTCGTGTATTCATAGGAACGTATCGGTGACACTGAACTATAACGAGTCTCTGCTGTGTATGTCGATGTTACTTTGCCTCGACCATCGTCTACAATTAAATTTTTTTAAAAATTTTCAAACATATACAACTTTGATTCAATACATTCCGATTCCAACCTAATAGTTTAACAGATAACTGTCTCTGCTCAAAATTTAATGCAAAAATTTCTGATGCAACTAAAATTACAGCGGCATCCAACAAACTCAGCCTGATCCGCATCCTTTCATTAAGTGTGAAAATTTGAAGGGAATCAAAAAATGATCTTCTCAGATGATACAGTCATGCACAGTGCAATCAAATGATTAGCTTCTTTAACAAAAGTGTTACCTTAAGAATGGAATATCTGAAGGAATCGAATAAATCTAACACATTTGATTGAGGAAGCTCTGTTATACTCAATCAACTTTTACTTACTTGATATCATTACACGATTTAGAGTCGAAAAATTTATATTTATTTACAAAGATCAAAGATTTAAATTTAATGATTTATAAAGATATAAAATTTTTTTCATTTATATGATCCAATATAAATAAATTAACTTGTCTTTGTGGGATGTGCCAATTGCAATGCGGTCATTTGCATTGATTGTTGTGATTAGTAAAAAAGGAGCTTGTGTGTTAGGTTTAAGTATGAGTGCTGTTTGGAAGAATGAAGGTTTGAAGTGTTTAACGTGCTTTGAAAGTAGTGAGAGATTGTTATGATGTGCCAGTTATTGAAAAGACTCGACGAATAATCCAGTACCTGGCATGAGCTTCGGTTTGTTCATAACGTTTCTTTAATTCAGCTTTGCAATTGTTGAGGCTTTATTCGCTCAATTTGCTAAGCATTGTCGAAAGTTTGAAGTTGCTCATTGTATTGCTTTTTCTCTTGTATGAAACGCATTTTAACAGAATATTTATTACGCAATAAAATACGACAATAATGAAAATAATTGCTCGCTATTGCATTAGATTAGATAACTACTACCTTTGAAATAAGAACTGAATAAAACATTCATGAGGTTATCGAAAAAGTTTTCAAGACAAGCATTGTCGTATGGCAACGTAAAGCAAATCAATCAACTCGAAATAAATAATAAAGCTATAATGAGAGGTTGTGGATCAGTTGAGTTAAATTTACTCAACACTGTTATTATATCATAATATACTACATCACATTACATTCCAAAATCATTACTTATTTAAAAAACAGACTCGTAACCACGGAAGGATGATGGTGGAATAAGGACAAATTCAGGTTAATCTTATTTCATGGATCCGAGATGTTAACGAATAAATGCGAATGCAGCGAGCGCAGTTAGCAATCCTCCCTCTCAGACTAACACCGACTCCCTAGAAATCTTCAGCTATGGTTACGAATCTGTCCCATTATTATTGAATTCGCTCAGTCGCATCCACGGAGTCGAATTCAAGCATGAAATTATCTTTAAAGCTTAAAAACGCTAAGGGAGAATCCAGATTTTTATTTCGAATGTTCGCTCATTTTTTCGCAGTAATATCACAATATTCTTTCAGTTGAGCTTCGTAAAAAGAATAGTTGCGTTCAAAGAAGACAATATCACAGAACATAACAACAGTGAGTGAACAAACACGGAAATAAGACAATATAGGAAATGAAGTGCATAAAGGTATAAGTGTTGTGCGAATGTGATTACTTGACAGTGATAGTTATATTTCTGGTGTTAATGCAAAAGGACAACAAATCTGGTTATAATTGTTATTATAAGAAGATTATATATGCAAATGACCGCAGTGCTTGTGATCATGCTGATTGAATGATTGCTTTAGGATATTTCATAATTCTGTATCTTAAAAATCAAAGAGAATCCAAAAACTTCACGGTATCCCACACTATTCGGCCACTTTGGCGGTATGAAAACAATTTCGAAAAGATTACAAAGGTGAAAAACATTAAAATAGGATTGGATGATAAGTAACAACAGTATAAATTAGTTATATTTATAAAGAATCGGTTTATAGTGAAACAGACCAGTGTAGGTTCGACTCGTCGTTGTGTGAGGAGCACCGTTACCGTACTGCGCTACAGTGTAGCCTAACGCATGACGGTCCTTATCGCTGTATATTGACAATTCATCACTGTCGTTATTCGATTCCACTTCATACCTCTTCGTTCCATTAAGCGCTTTCGTTGGCCGTTCCAAAGAACTTGTCATCCTTAAATTGCTCCATTCTCAGTCACTTCAGTCTCTGACTGATAACGCCTTTGCAAAATACCATAAATAATACTCACCGAGAAACAATATTCATTACGAAAATTAGTTAAATATACAATACAGCATTTGGACATAGAGCAGTTTCAATTAAACTCAATGAATGAGTTCATTCAAATATTCAGAGCAATAAATAATACTAAAAAATTTGACCGTTCTCTGTCAGCATTTGCAACTGGTGAGTGTGACGACGCTAAATGTGTTAGCGAAGAAGCCCACGGTCGCGCTGTTGCTGTGGACTGCTGTACGCTTGTAGAGTCCCATCTTGAGCTGAAGAATTATTTCGAATTTACAATTTGGTTTG